GCAATATCTGCAGCATCTCGATTACTTGCAAGACTGCTGGACTTTGAGCAATTCTGTCATATAGTAAATGCATCTCATTTCACAAAATTACTGCGGAAGGTTCTGAAATCTGACATCCCTCTATACCACAAAGACTGGGTTGCTGCCTGCCTTGTAAAGCTGAGCTATCTCTCTGGTCCAAATTTTGACTATAATAATCCAATCAACTTAGAAGTAACTCTTTACGAGACAATCCCAAGGCTGATAGAACAGATGAAGACCTCATATTCACGGGAAGTAGAAGAGGCTTCTGTTGTAGAACTGAACAGAATAACCTCTGAAGAGGTGGTGAATTCCACAAGAGCCGTGGCTGCAGGGGGAGGGATATTTCCGTTGGTGAAGGTGCTTGAAAATGGGAGCGAGCGAGCTGTTGAAGCAGCTCTAGCAATACTATATAATTTGAGTATGGAGAGTGAGAATCATGCTGCAATTATAGCTGCAGGAGCTGTGCCAATTTTGAGAAGACTTGTATTAGCTCAAGGGTCACATTGGATGCGAGCTCTGAGATTGCTTAGGACATTACCTACATAACCAACTGAGCTATATTATGCTTTTACCAGTTGTAAAATAAAACGATATATGAAATCCCGTATTGTTAGTCTTCAACCTACTTTTTCTTTTAAGCCAAAAACAAGTATAATTAATATACAGAGATAAATGTACATTGGTCCTGGGGACTTTATAATTTCGTTCCAACTGCACAACTAGTTTTGACATTGAATGAATTGCTGTTGTTGATTATATTATAAAAGAAGGTAGTAAGGATTAAGTTAATTATATCTCAATTTCATCTTTGAACAATTGAAGAAAAAGAAAAAAGAGATTATTATTTTTTTAGGGAAAAAAATGATAAATACACTGTTAAATTATCGTAAATGGTACACTTGTAATATTGAGATATTAGCGTCTTTACACATTTCTATCATTTATATTAATGAACATACATGTGCCCTAATTCTGTGCATCTATTTGATATTCTCAAAAGAAAAAAGTAACATTTCTGAAAGCACTTTTATATATTCGAAATTTTCGTTAATATTTATGTTATTTGAAAAAAATATGACTTATTTTTATCAACACAAAATTCAGACAATAGACATAATATTTCTTTTGTAGTACTATGTTATACTAAAAAATTGATGAGGTTATTTAATTTTTAGTATGCAGTTAGTATTGGGATAGTTATTTCTTTTTTATTTTTTTTAAAAAAATCGATTTTTAAATTAGTTCTTCTTAATATTAATATATTTAGCTAGGAGTATGTACTTCATATTCATAATTGAATAACTCAACTTATATGTTTTTACAAATTTTATTTTCTTTAACCTTTAATTTTTTAACCATCTTTATTTTATAATTATTTAAGATTAAAAAAGATTTAATTTTATGTGTTTGTTATTTTGAGTGTAAAACCAATGATTTATTTCGTGCCTATGATTTGGGAGCAAGTTTTTCGGAAGAATATAATATGGATAAGTTATTGTTAAAAAAATAATTATAATGTGGATAATTTAAGCATGTGAAAATTTTTATTATCTAATGTTTAATACTATCAAAATTTGCTTTAAAAATATTTTTCTTCGTAAAAATATGATTCAGAATCAAAATACATTATAACGAGAATTGGATGTTACTTACTAATGAATATAATAATTTTTTTAACAACAACGAGAATACTTCATATTCTTAATTACTTGTTTACTTTTGAAATAAATTAAAAATTCATTCTATCATTTTTAAAAGTAATTAATGAAGCGTGTAATAAATAAAAAAATTAGTTCTTTCTTGATTTATTAAAATAAAAAAATCATATATTATTATAAGTGGGAACAAAAAAGTTGAAAGTTGAAATACCCAAATAACCTTATATAGTTGAGTTATTACAATAATACCATTATATTATTATTATTATTATTGTTGTTGTTGTTATTATTATTATTATTATTATTATTATTAAATAGTAATTTAAGTTCCATAACAGAAAACTTTTTACATACCACTAAGTGCATTTATGAGTATTTCTTTTGTCATTATCATTGAGTTGCATTAACAATTTTTCTTCTTAATTGCTGAATTTTGAGCACTTAAAACAATTACCGTTTTAGATAAAAAAAACTTAACATTAGAGCATATGACGAGAGAGGTTAGAGCATATGGAGAGATTCATACAATATCAATATTTAATTGAAGAGAATATATGGTTAGATGTCACAATTTATTATTTTTCACTTTTTAATGACTTTAATAGCTTAACTTTTTAGCTTCTACAATTAAATACATTCATTCACAACCTTCCATATACACAATTTCTCTCTTTATAAGTTAAACAGAAAATATTAGTCCATTACACTTTATATTTTCACATCTTATAGTTCTTATGTAATCTTTTATTCATTGGTCATTTTTTTCTTATTGATATATTGCTTTGTTTAATTAACTTCTTTCATTTGTATGGAAATATAGTGTTAGATATTTGACAATCTTGACAAATCATATAGTTGAAGTAGTAATCTTTTTTTTTACCAATAAATATAGTGTATTCCACATGATTAAAATAAATAGTTTTTATCAATACAATCAGAAATTCTTCAAATTCTATTGATCTTTGCAAGTTGCAACCTTAGTTGAATGTTTTACCAGAAACATCATTTTTATCCTTTAAATATTGTATAATGCATTAATTATTCTAAAATAATTATATCATTTAAAATGTTTGGTATTAAATAACATGAGATACACGTGCAACGTACGTGTTCGAGAACTAGTAATTAAAAATAACTAAAAAAAAAGAAACATGGACAACTAATTAAAGCGGTTTACTAATTGAGAAGAGATTTTACACTATTACTGCTGCTTTTTATTTAAAAGAAATTTTAAAAAATATTTCTTTATCATTTACCTCAATTTTAGGAATACACCATAAATTACTGCACATAAATTCAAAACTGACCTCATTAATTATTTGCAGTAATAATTGAAGATCAATTGATTTATTAAGTCACAGGAGACAATTTGACAAAATTGCTCATTTTAATTCTTACATTTTCATTGTTCATTATTTTAATTTAAGTTAATAAAATATATAGAGCTTCTTTTTTTTTATCATAGCGATGGTGACAATGCACTGTGCATAATTTAAAAATCCTTCACATATACCAAAGGCTTAACCCCGCCCTAAATTTATCTTCGATTTTCACTAAGACATCTTTACTAAGTTTTGTTAATTTTAGACACCTCATATTATTTTGCATTATGTTATTTTAGCACTTTTTTAACAATCAGCTAAATATATGAGGTGTGTATAACACACTCGCCGATAATGTGTTAAAGTGACAAATTAAATAAAAACACGTGGCATATATATTGAAAATATTTTTTAAATAATAATATTTTAGTAGAATGAAAAATAGTCAAATTTTTTACACAAGAAAAGAATTTAAAAAAAACAAATCTACCAAGGTCATCTTCTCTGTTCACCACTCCAACCCCTACCCACCACCCATCCAAATCTTCTCCCCCCCCCCCAACCCAATGTCTCCTACACCTTTGTCCATTCTGACCCCAACCCATACCCCACCCATATCGTCTTCTCCATCCCTTTCCCATTCTATCCATCGTCTTTTAAGATTTTTCGCTGCCCTTCTTTTTTGCGATAACATGAATTGTGATTTTTTTAATGGATTGAGATTTTATTTTTTTAAAAAAAAATCTCTTCGTATTAAATTCATTTTTTTGTCCATAGCATCATCAATTGCATGGAAGGAGTTCAAGTTTTGAGAGATGGTGGCTAAAAAAATGAGGAAGAAAATAAAAAAATAAAATAAAAATGATTAAATGAATCTTTCACGCACCGGTAGTGAGTGTGTTATACTTACTATGCCATGTCAATAAAAAGTGTTAAAATGACACAACGAGACATGCATGAGGTGTCTAAAATGAACAAAGCTTAATTAAAATGTCTAAATGGATATTAATATCAGATTTAGGGGGTCACCGATGGATTCGACAATACCAAAATGATTATTTTCAACTTGCTTCACATATATAAATGGTGAGTTGACCAAGTTTAAGCAACTATACATAAATACTATCATTTATCAATATTGGCTTTGGGTTATTTGTTATTAAATTTTCAATTTTTGCCAATATTATGTTTTGATTTTGTTGGATGAATTCCTTTTTTTGCCCTTTTGAATATCATACTGTTGTACAAGTTTTTTTTTATCCTAAAACAACACACGTGTGTAAATTTTTGAACTGCAAATTTTATTTATTCTATGTACTTTAGATTTTAAAAAGTGACACTGTAATTGATTAAATAAGTATTTGAGAAAGGTACATGGAACAATAAAACAAATTTGATGTTGGTAAATCATTTGGTTGATCTGAGCAAATTAATATTGATAACATTTTTAATAGAATAGATTCATTTTCAATAAAAGTTGTTAGACCTATAAAATTGAAACCTTTTTCATATTGTATTACGGATTTAAAAGTAAATAATTTTAAATTGCTAAACTATATGTGATTCACTAGTTTACTATTTTGCTAATATCATATATTAAAAGTATTAATTTGGTTCCTGTTCTTGCTTATCATTAAGCTATTACAACTTACGAACATAAGAGATTCGACAAAAAAAAAAAAATCATGAGAAATATACATCTATGTTGCATAAAAATTAATGATTTTTTATGATATCAATCTAACGTGAAGATGTATTTTTTCTTTAATTATTTTATTTAAGAGGAAACACAAACCTCGAATCTAATCAAAACTATATTTTTCTTTTATTTCTACTTACTTATAAAATTCTTTATTATGAATAAGGTGATATATAAATTTCCTAATTTTTTTTTAATAATAATATATGATGATATATAAGTTATTTGAAAAAAGGTGTATCATCCCCAAAAAGAAAAGTTTTATATTTGTAAGAAGATAAGGTTAAGCCATAATCTAAAATGGTTGGAGTAAAGTGTATGTGTATGTCCATGTCCACAATTTTTGCATCTTCATCTCTACCACCTACTGACCCTAACTTAAAACCTCCATTCCTCAAAACCCAAACAAGAGTTGAAAGGAAACTCTCAGTTGCAGAGATAGAAAGAGCCATTGGTGCTGGCATTTTTAAAGATAGAGATACCACCAGGTAAGTATCCCTCCTTTTACCGACAATTGGACGGGTTGAGTTAAATTTGAGCAGATCAAAATGAATCAGATAATAAACGAGTCAAGACTCAATAACTCAAATCTCTTGGGGCCAAAATGGGTTGAATTAAAACAGATGTGACAAGTTAATAACGGATCATAACCCAATCCACTTGATTTTTCCTAGGTTTTAATCGTTTTATTTGTTATTTTATAAGTTATTAGTATCTAATAATTTTTTTTTTGTTTATTAGCTATCAATGACATATAAAGTCAAAAAAGTTTTTAAAAAATATTTTGATAATTTTTATCAAAAATCAATTTTTAATGTGTTGCAATGAGTTAGATTGCGATGACAACTGGACGGATAAATAACCAACTCAAGCCTAGTAGATTGGATCAGATTGAACTGATTGGGTTTGATTTTGTCAGCCTACCTGATACTACAATCTCAATTTTTTATATATTATTTTTGGTTTAATTTGTTAAGGAGTGCAAAGGAGAATAAAACATTGTTTGACTCAATTTTGTCCAATTCCGTTGGGGAGAATGAAGGGGATGTTGAGAAGAAGCTAAGACAAACTGGTGAATGGCTTATTCATAAAACTCAAAACGCATCTGCCTCTACTGGTAATTTATTATTTAATCCCCTTCTTTTTGTTTACTTCCTTGTAGTATGTACTAATATATTTTAATAAATATTTTGTCACAGGAAAACAGATTTTAGTTGTTGTCTTTCAATGGATTCTACCAATGTGGATTATTGCATTTCTTCTTGCTTCTGGGATCCTCAACCTACCATTTCTTGATGACTTGCTTTTGTAAACAATTATCCCCTTACATATTCGACTTATATTACTCTCTTTCATACTCCCTCCGTACATTTTTATTTTTTTATGTTGTCACGGACAAAATTAGGCAGAGGCCATACATTTTTATTTTTCATGTTGCCACAGACAAAATTAGGCAGAGGAAAGGAATGTAACGTCACATTGCTTTGTCTGAATAAATTGTTAAATAGGTATATACGGTTAATAAACGAAAACAAACTTAGAGGGTCTATATATTATAAGTAACACTATTTGAACAAAAGAAGTGCATAGCTTAGTTGTTCTTTTGTTTTGGTTCTTTAGAAAAAATATAATAGTATACATAAATTGTGTTTTATTTGTATGTTTTTTAAATATGGCTTATATTATTTTATTTATTTATTTATTCATTGAAAAGGTGAAATCGTTTACGAAAAATTCTGCGTACACCATTGCATATTGCACTTTTTGTTGACTAATTTTCAAAATTAAATTAAATTACATTAATTCATATTTTAAGCAAAAAATCTCCATATTCAAAAATCACGAAAGTACTATAAATTGTATTTTTTAAAATATTAATAATGATGAAAAATTATATCTTAAAAATATTTGTCAAATTTCTTATAGTTTACTCTAAAAAAAGCAAAGACAAATTATTTTTTACAAAAACATCCTCATAAACGGCTAACCAACTGAATAATAAATTCAAAAACTCAACTATTAGTATCTAATACTGAAAAAGGAAAAAGGAGAAGCAGAACTGTAATATGGAACAACATATACTAAACTTGTACCTCTAGTAAATTATCAATATCAATTCTAATAGAGCTTTGAAGAGAATGCGTTGAGAATTGTGATTCTACCCACATATTCGTGTTGGGTTATATATTATTAATCATACGTTAAGATATAATAATTTTTATTGAATAAATATTTGCTCAATTTTAATAGATCATATATTTTTTTATGCTATAGGTTTACTTATATAGTAAATGATTTAGTGTGTATAGTTTTAGCTTATACACAGAGGATTAAATCATCGGTTCTTATAACTATAAAGTTTTTTGTTTACAATCTAAGATGGAAATTGGACATGTCATCGGTACGATTGTAGCACAAGATTATATGTAATTTATCTTGATTATGTGAACAGTATAGTTTCAACTTCTTGTGCTAGTGCATTTTGTATGTATTGAACGGGACCGACTAGAGATAATTGTTTTAGACTGACTGACAAAAACATATTCTCTAAAATATTAAATGTACTTATATTTTTAATCCTGATATAACTATTATGACCTGTATCTATTAATTATCATTTTTATTTATTAAAATGTGAGATTCTGAAATGGGTCAATATGTTTGGTAAGTTGGATGATAATAATATATATTGGTGAAATAATAAGTTAGTTGATGGAATTCATGTCTCGTTATAGAGAGTGATTGATATGCCTTTTTGAAAAAACTTAAAAGTTTTCATCGTGTCAAACCTTGCAAGTAGATTTATGAATCCAATATATGAAATAAGTTAAGTAGTGCTCAAAAGGAAATTGATCGTTAAATTAAATTTGTCAGTAATTTAACTTATTGATTAATATCTGAAATATTACATGGGAAATTACATAAGTGTTTAATGGGGAATTATGAAATATAGAGGAGTGCAATTACAAATATCTAGTGGAATGGTTTGTAATTTATTATGGTAAGAATAATTCAAATTAATTATTTGAAATTATTTCCATAATAGGAAGTCTCTATAATTAATTTTGTGGTTCTTATAGTGGCCATATTTAACTAGAAGTCAGAATCTTAATCCTAAAGGGAAAAGGGGAAACAAACGTGTTTTCTCTTATAAAAAGAAAACGGGTGTGTATTTTTTTCTGGTTGGAGAAAATAGACTGGTTTTGTTCTCCAATTTAGATTGGGAAGAAATCTCTAGAATTAATCTAACCCTCGAAGATGAAAGTTTTCTATTCATACTTGTCCATCCAAGTATTAATAGAGTTCAAATGTGAACTTGGGATCAACGTAGAGGACCATAACTATCTTGTAGATTTACTTGAAGATCTGTCTAACTTTGGAATTTGCATGAAGGTATCTGTTCACACTTCAAGAGGTATTTATCGAATTAAATTTCAGCAAAATTCTAACATGGTTAATGTGTTCTAGCATAAACGTATAGTTATCTATTATTCATGTAAGCAGTAAACATTCTAGTATGCTTCCGCTGTGTATATATGTTTTCCCTACACTTTTGCACTATTTTGTATGATTTTCACAAATTAGAATGAAGTTAAGTCAAGGTTTAAGGAGTTACAAAAGTTTTGCTTTAAGTTAAATTATAAGAGACTATACAAACAATTCATCTTAATGAGAGACATAAAAGGTTTAACTTTGAACGAGTATATCTCTCAAGTTACAAAGAGTTGGGTGTTAAATAGACCAAGTTTGTAAAACCTTTCACGTTTATAGTGTTTAAATTAGTACACTAAAGACTTACGAGTTTAATCTTATTGTTATACATCACCTGCCACTGAGATGTTAGCGAGTTAGGATGTAAATAAGTGGTTGTATCAAAGGCGTGATGTATGAAGGTGTTCAAAGTATTGGACAAAACTTAGAAGCCAAAGGAAGTCTTGAAATAAAAATTCAAGTTGAAAATTTCATTACAACAATACATTTCAATAATTTGGTATATGTCTAACTTTGAAACGAGTATATCACTCAATATATTAATTAGGAGTTAGAAGTCTTATTACCTATCAACATAAAGATCTCTAAGTCTAGATTCCAACAACATAACCTCTCAACAATTGAAGAAAGGGGCAAAAAAATTATGGGTTATGTATGTTTTACCTAAAGTTGTGTGAATATTTGATATTTTGAAGATTACAACTTCATGGACCATTACAAAGACATGTTAGGTAGTTTATAAAGAGTCGACAATTTTAGTTAGTTTTAGTTTGTCACTAAGTTTAGAACAAGTTCTTAGGGTTTTCTCTATCTAGTTTGTTGAATGAAGAACATCAATATGATTTCAAGTTATGAGAAATCTCAAGTCCTAGTAAATTAATCTAGTAGACTGCATCAGTAGGAAGTGGATAAAGTTATGCAAAGTTCCAAGTCCCAGTAACTTAATCTACCATTGACCAAGACGGGTCGTGGGATGTTCTACAGACCGTTGATGGGTTCCATAGAAGAAATTCGGGCTTACTAGAAATTTTGGGGGTATAGTTGAGTTCTATTTTTTGGGTCTACAAAGTATAGGATGTCTTACGGGCCGTAGAAAGGCCTCGTCAAAGTTTGATGAACTTTAAGGTTCCAGTACTTAGTCTCTGGTTGACCAATACGGTCCGAAGAATTTTCTACAGACAGAGGTTGAACCTGTAGTTCGGTCAGGCATCTAATTTATAAGGGTATTTGGGTCTTTTTATAAGCACCTAATACATGTACCACTCTGTTCTAACCTATAAAAAGAGACCATTAAGTTGATTTTACTCCTAAATCTACCAATTCCATTTCATTCCTCCAAAATCCCCAAAATCCTCTCAAGTTTTTCTCTTTCAAGAGCAAGGAATAGGGACCTAGGGTTTCCAATTCAATCATATTTCTTTCACCACTATCTTGAGCTATAATATCAGGATATTTAGAGAGTTCGTCAATTTGTTTCATTCACCCATTGAGTCCCTAAGAATCCTCAAATTCTCCAATTCAATTTCTCTAAATTAGCTAGATGTTCATTCAATACCTCATAGATTTTTTATATGGATTCGACTATTTGATTTTGATCATATCATGATAGTTTTGATATAATTACATGATTTACAATCAATTTCATATGAACCCATGCATGCATGATACATGATATTGACTATGAATCCTAAAAGGATATGAATTAATAAAGAAATTATGAAACTATGAATGATATTTTCATGAAAGATATGCATGGTTTATGGAAAGGGTTGTACTATTATCTAGATGATTTAATATTCACATCAACTAAATTGTGAAAGGTTTCTCATATTAAGGGATCATGGTATGGTGAAAGGTTTTCTAGTATATGCATCATTGACGTTTTAAGAAGCTATTCTATGGTGTTTTAAGGTTGGATTGGTAACTTAATTGTGTTTTCCCATGTATGATCATATTCTTATGGTTATGACTATTCTATTGAGATTTACTTAGCACCGAGAGAATATTGAGATGGAGGCTCTCCCATCAATAAAGGGTGGATCTCTAGTATATGTATATGTATTTATGGATGTATGTATATATATATATATATATATGTATGTATGTATGTATGTATGTATAAATTGAATGATGTCAAAGGGATTGTACAAGACCTCCGAGAGGTCGAGTACGTCGTGCCACGATTTGAGAATACCATTTCTTCTAGGGTATACTCTCAGGTTGTGACACCGCGACACACTCCATGGTGGTTTCTACCACACTTAGCATATGTAGGAACCCAATTAGCCTTTGTGCCACACTAGCCTGTGACTGAGTAGGTCTAGCCGTATAATTTTGGGAATTCGGGTTACTGAAATCACCTATGTTCTTTGGTATTAGGTGAATTAGCTGATGATAGTGTAGATCTAGTTTGCCTTTGTTATGAAATTTCTCTCTATCTTTCAGTTTATCTTCAGGAGTCTGCTGCACATGTATCATAAGCCTGCTTATGTCCACATTCTATCAACATAGATGTCTTACCCTGCTTACTTGACAAGAGAGACAACCTGACACAAACAGAATCATCCTGCTTCTTATATTTTCCACCATCTCCAGATCATAATGGGTTAGTTGAGTTAATTTGAGGTTGTAAGCATGCACACTCATTCCTCCTGTTTCATGTTTAGTAATTCATCAACTTTGCTTCCCTTAGCACACAGAGAAAAAAACGCTCTAGGATGGCACTTTTGATAATATTCCAACTCACAAGTGGTGCTCCTTCAGCCTTTCTCTTTTTCCATTGGTCGTACCAGATCCTAGAGAAATCCTTGAGTTGGTATGTAGCTAACTCTACACACTTAACATCAATACTCCATATAACTTGACACTTTCCGCATCTCTTCCATAGCGTTCCCTGTATGCTCAGTGACATTTCACCTTGTGAATTCTGGAGGATTCAATTGCAAGAACTCATGGATCCTGGATTTATCAACCACATCCTGATGTACCAGATTTTTTGACTAGCGTGATTGGACACA